GTAAACAACATCCCGCTGCTCGCATGGTGGCGCCTCCCTGCGCCCCACAGCATTTTGTTGTTTTACTGGAGTATTTTTACAGCAAATTCCAGACATCATTCCATCCGTGAGGACTTCCGTACAGATTACTGGTTTTCAAAACCCGCCGGGTGGGCTGCGATCAATGCTGAACAAAGACAGGATGAAAGGGAATAGTTGATAGAATCCGAGGACGTTGTGCAGGGCCGGTCTGCACGTCGCTGGGATGTTGAGTGTATCTTCCCGGCAGCCGCAGTCCAGGGAGGTTTGGGAAGCCTGGCCAGCAGAGGCCCTGGGGCTCTGTGCAGCTTTCCCTCTGGCTTCTTTGTGGTTGACCCTGACGTCAGGGCTGCAGGACCCCTTGGCAAGGCTGGCGGCAGGAGAGCCAGCATGGGCACAGTGGATAAGGGGTGGAGATGAGGTGTGCTCCACCCGCCCTGTTCCTGGACGCTCTGGCCCCTGGGGACTCCAAGACTTTCCAGGTCTGCCTGGTCACTAAAGGCGTAGGCTCCACAGTCCAAAGTTCTGGCTTCAAATCCCTGCTCTGTCACTTGCTACCCAGATGACCTTAGGCAAGTTTAACAAATTCCTCTGTGCTGTTTCCTGTTAGATGTTTCCTGTGAAATGGGACAGGAATGGTCCCAACTTCATGGGGTTGTTGTGAGGATTCACTGTATATGTATATGTATATGTATATGTATATGTATATGTGTGTGTATAATATACATAAAAGGCTCTGAACAGTGTCGGGCCCATGGTGAGTGCCAGGAAATGTGTCTGTCACTCCCGCAGGCCTGGGCCCTCTGTCCCTCAGCCCCAGCCCCACTCCTTCGCTACCCCTCACTCCTCCCGTAGGGAAGGATTCTCTCTCCTGCATGTGAGAGTCCTGCAGGGAGCATTTAAAAATCTCAGTGCCAGGCCAGGCGCGGTGGCTCATACCTGAAATCCCAGCACTTTGGGAGGCTGAGGTGGGTGGATAACTTGAGGTCAGGCGTTCGAGACCAGCCTGGCCAACATGATGAAACCCCATCTCCACTAAAAATACCAAAAAAAAAAAAAAAATAGCTGGGTGTCATGGTGCACCCCTGTAGTCCCAGCTACTCAGGAGGCTGAAGCAGGAGAATCACTTGAACCTGGGAAGTAGAGGGTGCGGTGAGCCAAGGTTGTGCCACTGCACTCCAGCCTGGGCGACAGAGTGAGGCTCCATCTGAAAAAAAAAAGAAATCCCAGTGCCAGCCACACACCAGACCAATTGCCCTGGAATCTCTGGGGGTGGGACTCAGGCAGCAGTTTTTGTTTTTTGTTTTTTGGGTTTTTTTTTAAGAAACAGGCTCTTAGGCCGGGCGCGGTGGCTCAAGCCTGTAATCCCAGCACTTTGCGGATGGCGAGCACGGGCGGATCACGACGGTTTCAGGAGGGACTCTGAGACTCATGCCTGGCTAACACGGTGAAACCCCGCTTCTTCTATAAACAATTACAAAAAAAGTAGCCCGGGCGTGATGGGTGCCGGCGCGCCTGTAGTCCCAGCCCCTACTCGCGTGGGAGCTGAGGCAGTGGATGAAATGGCATAAACCTGCCGATGGGCAGCAAGCCTTTGCAGTGAAGCTGAGATCCGCCACTGTTATCTTCCAGCCTGGGTTGACCAGAGGCGCCAGATCTCCGTCTCAAAAAAAAAAAAAAAAAGAAACAGGCTCTTGCTTTGTCACCCAGGCTGGTGTGAAGTGGCACAATCAAGTTCAAGGTTCACTGCAGCCTCAACCTCCTGAGCTCAAGTGATCCTCCCGCCTCAGCCTCCTGAGTAGCTTGGACTACAGGCACAGGCCACCACGCTTGACTAATTTTTTTTAAATGTTTTATAGCTAGGGTGTCCAAACTTTTGGCTTCCCTGGGCCACATTGGAAGAAGAATTGTCTTGGGCCACACATAAAATACACTAACGATAGCTGATGAGCTTAAAAACAAAAAATCGCAAAAAAAATTCATAATGTTTTAAGAAAGCTTATGAATTTGTGTTAGGCCACATTCAAAGCCGTCCTGGGCTGCAGGCGGCTGGAAGGCTGCGGGTTGTACAAGCTTGTTTTTTGTTTTTGAGATGGAGTTTTGCTCTTATTGCCCAGGCTGGAGTGCAATGGCACGATCTTGGCTCACTGCAACCTCCACCTCCTAGATTCAAGAGATTCTCCTACCTAAGCCTCCCAAGTAGCTGGGATTACAGGCACCCACCACCACACCCAGCTAATTTTTTGTATTTTTAGTAGAGATGGGGTTCCACCATGTTGGCCAGGCTGGTCTCGAACTCCTGACCTCAGATGATCTGCCCACCTTAGCCTCCCAAAGTGCTAGGATTACAGATGTGAGCCACTGCGCCTGGCTGTAAGCTTGTTTTATAGAGACAGGGTCTTCTTATGTTGCCTAGGTTAGTCTTAAATTCTTGGCCCCAAGCGATCCTCATGCCTCAGCCTCCCAACGTGCTGGGATGACAGCTGTGAGTTACCTAATCCGGAAGAAGCAGTATTTTGTAAAGCTCCTGGGCGATGTGCGGACGCTGCAGGGCCCAGCTCTTCTTGGCTGTAGTGCGGATGCAGGTTCTGAGTGGGCAGGGCCAGCTCAGGGCCTGAGACTCTGCAGGCACAGCTCCCGGGAAGCCTGTGCTGCTGTTCCATGGGCCATTCTGGGAACAGCAAGGCCCTGGAGAAAAGGTCTAGCTGGAAACCTCGACCTCCTTTCCCTCCCTCGCTGTCATAAGGGACAGCAGCAGCTGACATTGCTCGGACTTTTCCTCTATTCCCAGCACAGATCACCTCCCGACACTCAGTCCTCGCTGCTGCTCAGTGAGACCATTATGTGCCTCATCCCTTTTTAAAAAAATTTTTTTTTCTCAAGATGAATTGTCACTCTGTTGCCCAGGCTGCAGTGCAGTGGCGCAATCTCAGCTCACTGCAACCTCCACCTACGGGTTCAAGTGATTCTCCTGCCCCAGCCTCCGAGTAGCCGGTATTACAGGCACCCACCACCATGCCTGGCTCATTTGTTTACTTTTAGTAGAGACGGGGTTTCGCCATGTTGGCCTGGCTGGTCTTGAACTCCTGATCCACTCGCCTTGGCCTCCCAAAATGTTGGGATTACAGGCTTGAGCCACTGTGCCTGGCCACCTCATCCCGTTTTAAAGATGAGGAAAGTGAAGTGTTGAGATAAACTCTCCGTGGTCACATGACTGGGACCTGGCCCAGCTGGTGCAGTGGGGAAGCCCCAGAGACCACTGCTAAGTTGGAATGGCCACCTTTCATACGCAGCTGGCCCACGCCCGCTCCATCAGTATCTCTCGCTCTCCCTGTCTTCCCCAGGCCCTCACTCTATGTCCTGGTGGTATCTCCCACCCATGTCTTACTAGCTCCACCTGGACTTCCAGCTCCTTCTCCAAACCTTTCCTGACCTGCCATCTTCACATTCACCTCTCCGATTTCTGGCCCAGAGCAAGCATCTCTGACCTCAGAGGCACAGGAATCCCTGGGACCTTGTGCCCCTGGGTGGGCCTGAGCTGCTGCCTTGCTCCCCAGCCTCCGGGTTGCTGATGCTACCAGTCCACCAACAGCTTGCAGACGAGGGCCAGGCCTGGGGTCTCCTCACAGGCCCTAGCCACACACCCTTCTAGAAAGCAGACTTGCTCCTTGGCATCCTCAGAATAAGCTCTTAACTCAAAACCAGCCCCAAAAACCCCAGGTCCAACCCATCTTTGGTTTCTCCCGACCTGTTCCTGCCTGACCTCCCACCCCCTGGGGCTCCTCCCATGGATTGTGCCTTTATCTTCCTCTGGACCTCTGCACACTACAGGCCCCTGTGGGGTGGGGCTCCAGCCTGGGGATCAGGACAGTCCTGGGTTCGAGTGTCAGCTCCACAGTCCCTAGCAAGCTAGTAGCCTCAGGCAGGTGCCACCACCTCTCTGAGCCCTGATTTTTGTGTCTGTGAAGTGGTGACAGTAATAGTACCTTGCGGGGCTGTTACTGAGGAATGAGTGTCAAGAGCACGCAGGGGCCCTGCACCACTGGCTGCTGCTTTTATTTTTCAATTGCTCAGAACTGAGGATGCCTCATGTCACAGGAACATCATGAGAACACTGGTTGGGATAATTCTAATACCCTGTGGGCTGGGGGCCACAGGGGCTCTATAGTTCAGGCTGTCAGATCTCCAAAGAACCTGCATTAGGGAAAAAAAAAATGGCAGCATTAGAATGGGAGGTGCGGCCGGGCTCAGTGGCTGAAGCCTGTAATCCCAGCACTTTGGGAGGCCAAGATGGGCGGATCACGAGGTGAGGAGATCGAGACCATCCTGGCTAACCCAGTGAAACCCCGTCTCTACTAAAAAATACAAAAAACTAGCCGGGCGAGGTGGCGGGCCCCTGTAGTCCCAGCTACTCGGGAGGCTGAGGCAGGAGAATGGCATGAACCCGGGAGGCGGAGCTTGCAGTGAGCTGAGATCTGGCCACTGCACTCCAGCCTGGGTGACAGAGTGAGACTCCGTCTCAAAAAAAAAAAAAAAAGAACGGGAGGTGCACTGCCATGGGGGCCTCTGGGCCACCCCCGAGCCCTGGCTGGCAGGTCTTCACATCTCTGCAGCTGCAGCCGTCCTGTGGCTCTTGAAAGGAAAGGCTTGGCGGTGTCGGTTCCCTATGATCAGTTCACTGCAGCCTCCGCCTCCTGGGTTCAAGTGACCTCACAGAGCCAGGGCTGCAGACGCCGCCTTGGCTTCCTGTATATTTAACTTTGAGGCACCCGTAAGTTTTTTCCACCAGCACAGACTCCCTCTTTGAGCAAATCCAGCCCAGATGTAGTTGACAGGTGGCGTGACCTGGAGGCCGGTGGTTTCTCTCCACCACAACCTCCTGTTTTGCACTCGTCAGGGCCAGGGGTGGGGGCCTGGCCGCATATGGCCAACACAAACAAGTTGTGCCCGCCCCTCCTCTAAGCGCTCTCCTCTCTCCACAGGCCTGCAGAGGCGCCAGCATGGGGCTTAAGATGTCCTGCCTGAAAGGTAAGGCCTGCACCTCTGCCCCCACCAGCTCTCATGGCAGGGGGTGGGCTGGGCTGGGGGACAGGAGGGAGGGGAGATGAAGCCCTCTGCCCTGCAGAGAGAGCGGGGCACCATCCCTTAAAGCAGTCCTGTACACAGCAGGTACCCTAAAAATGCTTGTCATGACCCTGAGCACCCCCCCAAGGCCTTCCATTTCTTTTTTTTTTTTTTTTTTTTTTGAGACAGAGTCTTGCTCTGTCGCCCAGACTGGAGTGCAGTGGCCGGATCTTAGCTCACTGCAAGCTCCACCTCCCGGGTTCACGCCATTCTCCTGCCTCAGCCTCCCGAGTAGCTGGGACTACAGGGGCCCGCCACCTCGCCCGGCTAGTTTTTTGTATTTTTTAGTAGAGACGGGGTTTCACCGTGTTAGCCAGGATGGTCTTGATCTCCTGACCTCGTGATCCGCCCGTCTCAGCCTCCCAAAGTGCTGGGACTACAGGCTTGAGCCACCGCACCCGGCCCTTCCATTTCACTAGCAGTGAGTGACTGAGAAGGTGGCAGTGCCCTGGGGCCTCAGTTTCCCCCTCAGGGGGCCTAATCCCAGGCTGTGGAGAGTGAAGGAGGAGGAGACCTTTGCGAAGCAGCCAGGAACACGCTGGGCTGTTTTTTTTCCCAAGGACACACCTGGGGCCTGTTATCACCCAGACAGGAGGTCCAGCGTCCAGGTGCTGGGAGAGAAGGCCAGCAGGAGAAAGTTCTAGAAGGACACAAAACCACTGAAGGGTGTTGTGGGTGTTGGCGAAGGCGGCCCAGACTTCTGTCCTGTCTTCTGTCCTGGGGCAGACCAATGCGGGAGGAGACCTCCCATCCCAAGTCCATTGCTGCCCCCTCTTCTTTACCTTGGTGACAGTTGCTTTGGTCTCCCCAGCCGAAAATCTGGGAGTCACGTGGGCGGCCACTGGTCCAGACCCAGCATGCCCGCCTGCTCTGACTTGCGTCCCTGCTGCCTGAGACCAACTCTGGCTCCAGGTGTCCCATGGCCAGTAGTTTGAGGGCCGGGCTCCTAGCCTGCCCCAGGGCCACCTGCCTGACCCCAGCAGCCCCTTCCAGGCAGAGGTCACCTACGCACCTGGAGAGGTGGTCAGGAACTGAGCCAGGCCTGGAATCAGCCTGCATTGTGTGAGTTGTGGCCTCACCAATGCCTCTGTAAGACCTAGATCAAGAGCCTCAGTTTCCTTATCAGTAAAATGGGGATCATGGTGGACCCGTCTCAGGTCACCAGGAGCACCAGAGCAGGGCCTGGCGCACCCTGGCGGTGGCTGCTCTTAATTAATTGTATTATTTCCTTCGTCAAATTCACCAGGCTCTGTAGCCCATCCTTTGGGTTTAGGCAGGCTTAGGGCTTTTGGATGCAAGCTACAGAAGCGGATACTGGTTAACAAGGAATTTACTGGAAAGCCAAGGGGAGCCCACAGGAAGAGTAAAGTAAGGAGGAATGAAAAGGTCCCTGCTGGGAGCCAGGATGAATGGACCACCTTTTAGGTTCCCAGGCTGGGAGGAATCCGCTCCAGGAGAGCATCTGATTGGCCCAGCTTAGGTCTTAGGCCCGCCCCCTTGGCGTGGAGGGAAGTGCATCTTGATTGACAGCTCCTCCAAGACCGCTTGCAGAGAGATTGGTTCCCATGGTGAAAATCGGGGTGTCCTTTGCCAAGCGGGATGGGATACCAGACAGACACAAACAGCCCGCGTCCCCTCCAGGGCCTGCCTTCCTCTGAGACTCCAGCCTGACCCCACAGAGGAGCGGGGAGATGTTTGTCGAATGAGTATCTGTGAGTGGTTGAGGTTGATCCAGCCGCAGACAGTGGTTGAGAGGGTCAAGCCTGAACCCTTGAAACTTGAGGACTTTCTTCCCTTTGACGTGAGTTTCCCAGTTCCTGGCACAAAGTAGGCATTGAGGACACTTTTCTTTAAAAAATAATATGTATCACATAAAACTTACCGTTTTAACCATGAAGTGTACAGGTTAGTGGCATTAAGCACGTTCACAATGTTGTGCAACCATCGCACCACCCATCTTCAGAATGCAGGTTTCATCATCTCCAGCTGAAACTCTGTCCCCATTAAACACTAACTCCCCGTTCCCTCCCCCAGCCCTTGGCAGCCACCATTCTACTTCCCGTCTCTAGGAATCTGCTCTAAGGACCTCATGTCCGTGGAATCATCCAGCATTTGTCCTTTTGTGTCTGGCCTCCATCGCTCAGCGTGGCGTTTTCTAGGCTCATCCACATTGAGGCACGCGTCACTGCTTCATTCCTTTTCACGGCTGAATACTACTCCACCATGTGGACAGACCACGTTTTCTTTATCTGCTTCTCCAATGATGGACACTGAGTTGTTTCCACCTTTTGGTGATTGTGTCAGGACATCTTTGACAAAGAAACCAGGCCCCTGGAGGTGTCTCTGGGACCACTTTTCTTCCAGCCCAAGGCCGGGGCTTGATCAGGAAGGTAGACCAAGACTCTGCAGATCCTGACAGTGCCTGGGAAATGCACTCCGACACCACCCACCCCCGGCCCCTCATGAGTGAAAGCACAGGCAGCCAGCTCAGGGTTCCTGGAGCTGGGAGCTTTTAAAAGGACCACATTCCTGTCGGCCCTAGAGCTGCTAAGTGCTGGAATGGCACCTGCCCCAAGCACGGCTTGTCCATCCATTTTTCATGGCTGGCTTTGGTGCTACCGGCCCCTGCCCACCCCCACCTGCCCAGCCTGGGTCTCTGAAGGTGATGAGGCCCGTACAAGCATGGTGGTGACTCTGGGAATGGGGAGTAGGGGGGCCAGAACTCTTTTTTTTTTTTTTTTTTTTTTTGAGACAGAGTCTCGCTGTGTCACCAGGCTGGAGTGCAATGGTGCAATCTCAACTCACTGCAACCCCCGCCTCCCGGGTTCAAGCGATTCTCCTGCCTCAGCCTCCAGAGTAGCTGGGATTACAGACGCCTGCCACCACGCCCAGCTCATTTTTGTATTTTTGGTAGAGACGGGGTTTCACCATGTTGGCCAGGCTGGTCTCCAACTCCTGACTTCAAGTGATCCGCCTGCCTTGGCCTCCCAAAGTGCTGGGATTACAGGCGTGAGCCACCACGCCCGGCCTGGAGAGAAACATTGTAACTCGACATTTGAAGTAACCAGGAACTTAGTAACATGGCATCTTACTGTCCTAGGGCTGCTGTAAGAGATTACCCCAAACTAGGTGGCTTAAAACAGGAATTTATTCTCTCACAGTTCTGGAGGCCAGAGGTGTGACATCCAGGTGTGAGCAGGGCCTCGTTTCTTCTGGAAGATCTAGGGAGGCTGCTTCCTGCCAAGCTTCTGGTGGCACCAGCCATCCTTTGGTTTGTGGCCGCTTAGCTCCAGCCTCTGCCTCGTGGCACATGGCTTTCTTCTTCTGTCTTCCCCTCTCTTTTAAGGACAACTGTCATTTGCTTTAGGGCCCACCCTATTTCAGGATAATCTCATCTCAAGATCCTTAACTCAATTATATCTGCAGGGCTACACGATGGCTCATGCCTGTAATCCCAACACTTTGGGAAACTGAGGCAGGAGGATCTCTTGAGCCCAGGAGTTCAAGACCAGGTCTGGGCAACATCACCAACCCATCCCTTTACAAAAATACAAAAATTATCGGGGGAATAGGGTGGACGTGCCATGCTGTGGTTCCCAGGCCACTTGGGAGGCTGAGGGGTGGGAGATCCCTTACTGCACTCCAGCCTGGGTGAAGAGGCAGACCTGTCTCAAAAAAAAAAAAAAAAAATCACAAAGGACCCTGTTTCAACAATGTTAGATTCCCACTCATAGGTTCCGGTTAGGTGTATCTTTTGGAGCGGGCACCGTTCAGCCCTGGATACAATTACTCTCACTCCCTGGGGCCTCAGCACTACATGCTGCCCAGGGCACCAGGAGGAGGGACCCGCCAGGACCCAGGCCCTCTGCCTCTGTGCTCTAGCCCTGCAGCCTGGCCAAGGACTCAGACCCACCCAGCTGTTTCCAGGTGACCCTCCTGTACCATGCCCCCAGCTGTAGGTCTCCCTGGGTTCAAATCCCAGCTCTGCCCCTTACCAACGATTTGACCTTGGAGCAGGGCCAGCTTCACGGGCATGTGACCTCTGCAGCTACACAGGCCCCATGCTCAGTTTAATGCTCTTAATGCATATTGAACAATGGGCCTCACATGTTCATTTTCCACTGAGCCCCACAGATTACACAGTGGTTCCTGCCTTGGGGCAAGTGACCTTGTCTCTGTAGGCCTCAGCTTCCTCTGGGGTAAACCAAGGCATCCTGCATCCAGCCCACAGGTTTTATTGAGTGCTGGGTTCTGGAGAGGACTTGAAGAATCATAAAGACAGAACTCTGCCCAAGGGTATACTATCTAGAGCCACACCATCCAGTAGAAATAGATTTTAACGTTTCTAGCAGTCCCATGAATAAGGTAAAAAGCAACGGGTACGATTACTTTTAATATGTTTTATTTAATTCAGTGTATTCCAAACATCATTTCAACGAGTGGGGTCCAGTTCACTGGTCTAGGAGGTTCAGTCAGCTGATCGGGGGGGGTGTTCAGTTGTCTAGGGGATTTAGTTTTGTGGTTTGGGGAATTTCGTTGTCTGGTCTGGAGGTTTAGTTGTCTGGTCTTGGGGGGATTGTCTCGTATGGGGAGGTTAGTTGGCTGATCTATGGGGTTTAAGTTGTCTGATCTGGGAGTTACTTGGCTGGGCTGGGGGCTTTACTTGGCTGGTCTTGGGCGGTTGGTTGGCTGGTCTAACAGGGTTTACCTGTCTTGTGTGGGGATTAATTGGCTAATCTGGGGGTCCAGTTGGCTGGACTGGGGTTACTTGGCTGGTCTGAGGGTTCAGTTGGCTGGTCTGGGGTTATTTGGCTGGACTGGGGGCTTTACTTGGCTGGTCTTGGGGGTTTAGTTGGCTGGTCTAGGGGTTTAGTTGTGTGATCTGGGGGTTTGATTGGGTGATG